ACCATTTTCAAAAAGCGTCCCACGCCCTGAAAGACCTTCCTTGTTAGTCTTCGCTGCCAGTCCGTCCTTATCTACAGTTAAGACGAGCCAGAACAGAGGAGAATTGACAGAAAGTTTGTTGCTTCACCAGGGACTGCTTATGTAGGGGGAGATATTCTCATCCACCTGTCTCTTATTCCTTCCATTATCTTCTTTCTTCCTTTAATTTTTCTTCACTAAAACTGATTTTTGCCTTAACAACAGGGACGAAAGCAGAAGTTGCCACGCCCTTTCAAGGAAATCGATGACCAACAGGACGAAAGGTGATACAGGCGATTCGGACGTAGTGAGGCGATGAGAGCAAAAGCGCCCCAATTGCAATAAGGCCGCGCCGTACGACCACCTCCGGGAATAAGCGCGAAAGTTTCTTTTCAAAATTGCCATCACGTTCTTTATGACTTCGGTTCTATTTTTTTTTCTTTTTGTCAATAAGAGGTAGTGAAGAGTTTATTCGAAAATAGGCGCAGCTGGCTTCCGAGCATCAGAGGTGTAGTTCTTTTTTTTTCTGTGGAATAGACGATTTCTAAAGTTGTTAAAGTTTTAAGAATTGGGTAAAGTGACGGGAATGTATGGGGAAGTTTTCCCAATCTGGTAATAGTCGTTTTAACTCTTCAGCTCAAGTAGGACTGCGCGATGAACAGTATTGAAGTTACACTTCTCCTGCTTGTCATCTTATAATTTTTCGCTTGTTGCGTGTCAATCACATTCTAATGACATGCCCTCTCCCTGATTAATCAAGTATCAAACCAGTTTCTTGGAACTCCTATTAGGCCGAAACTTTCTTTGTAGGGCTTGGTAACCCGCCGTGTTTTCGCTCAAACAAAAACGATCTACAAAAGGCGCGATAAGTCCTTAAAATTCATCTCAAACTGTACTGCCACCGAGAACGCTTTTGTTGATGGCGTGCTCGGTGGCTGTACTGTTCGAAACGAAGCTTTATGAAGGAGCTGTGCTAGATGAGCTACACTGCAAAAGTAGGTGTTCCGTACCCACTCCCTCGTGCAGTTGTCAACTTGTTCAGTAGCTGCGAAGAGCTCTTCCGTACGATATTTCCCGCATTTGTACAATGCCGAAAATGAGGCGAGCGGTATAAGGAGAAGCGGAATTTTTGCCTTTCTGCATTCTTCATCAACCCAATCATTCGTGACTCCCTCACCATTCCTCACAGCTCATTGTGCGTGTGACTCACTTCTTGGTTTCTTCTCGTACACAGACAGGTCACGAGGAAACACTCGTAGCCCGGTAGATTGGCGAACGGATATATTATTATTGCCTCGAAGGATGATTTGTTACCATTGCTTTTAATTGGTTGCTCCTATAGACTACTCATGCTAGCACTCTGCAATGGTGTACCAAAAGTTTCAAGTAGCAACCCCCATCCATGTCATATTGGAGGGATTTTAACGTCTCGGAACGTGGGGTACAGTAATATCTTAGTGCCCCATCACCCACCCCCGTGGGCCTCACCTGGGGGTACATTTCTGACGTCGTATATTGTGACGGGTGTTTGAAGGCGCTTGAGTGTGTCTTCGGGTTACTGTGTAGCACATTCACGGGACGATTAAATCCGTTTCGTCCATGTCACATGACGTCCTCAACCACCCGCCACAGATACGACGCCACGAAAAATGCAGGGGCAGATTGAGGAAAGGGTATGCAGGGCGAATTATGCGTCTGCGGAGTGTTACACTGGTGGTTATTATATCAAATCAAGGGCGGGTGTAGTATAGTGGCCAACCCCAAACTTTCCATACTTACCGGATCTTCAATTGTCGTCTGGAAAGTAAAGACAGACTGCAAGTGGCCATCGATAGTTGTTGTGTAGGCAACGTCCGAATTCAATACGACTCTTCGATTCTGAAGAAGAGTCGAGTGCAGTCACTCCCCGCTCACTTAGCTTTGCAACGGGTGAGCGGCGTAACAACTTTCAAACACGACTCATCTGTTCTGGCATGGAGTGGTCCACTTGCACACAAAAAGATCAACTTTACCTCTAATGCAAAGGAGTAAAATGAGTGATCTCTCGCGGTTGACTTTATTGCTCGCTGCTTCACAGAATTTTGCTGATGTGTCACACAGGAGTTCCTGCACGCATCAATCCTGTCTCGACTTTCGCCAATGACGTTATTAAAGGAATGCATGAAGTGCATCAGCTTCAAATGGGCAGGAAAACAATTTTCCCAAGTCAGAGGCCTTGCCCTGGGCCAACGGCTGGCACCGGATCTCGCTGTTTGGTTTATGGGTAGAATTGAAAAGCCGGTTTAACAACGTCATCCAATAATGTGTTGCAGATATACCAATGACTGCTTCATCATGACATCTACGTAGTCGGGTGCTTGTCAAACGATTGTATCACATGTCTCTATGGGAAACAGGTGACTGCGCATGTACTAATAGGCGTAATCTACCAGCGAGAATGTCTTATATGAGGATCAAGTTGTATCGGGTGTGATAGGAAGATAACTATTTAGCTATACTGATAAAAGAATATCTAGCTAGTATGAGGTGAACATTATGACAGTGCTCGGTCGGCATAAAATTGAACACAACGGCGACAGTTTTGATGTGAGGCGCACGATATTAACGCAGGAGACGGAAATTTCAGCAAGGAAGGCATTAGAGGCGCTTTGAATCCTGCAAAGGAATCCTAAAATGAACAACAGAGATGAGTGTCCGCCTATGAGGTGACCTCTTGCCATAGTTACCGCACTACGAGGGGTGTTGTCCTACGGCTCGTGGTCAGGTGCATCATAATATCTTATGGTAATATCTCCCTTATCATAAGCATAAGGGGAATCAGGAAGCTTCATGCGCTACTGAAGTCGCATATGGTGACAGCGGTTTTATCCCCTTCAAAGCTGGAGCCTGGTGAGTATTTCCTAGAGTGGATAGTTCCGATGAGTTTCAGTCATTGTTGTGATAGAGGGATTGAACGCTGTCGGATAATGTAAATCATATCGAGTTGCGTTAAGGGCTTCGGACACGACGATTACGTTAGGCCTTTAATTCATTGAAGAGGTCTACCTGAAAACCTTGAACGGCAGAAAATTCTAATAATACATTGAACCATGTCTGTTTTTTTGGTGCATATCTGTGATTGAGAATGGAAATGAACTGAGTTCATAAAAAGTCCCGTTCTTGTTTTCAGGTAGTTTTTCTATTACTATCATCTTTTAATTTATTGTTCTTGTCTGACCGTTCTCATTTTGTTGCATTGAATTCGCCTAAAGTGACTAACTTTTCCTAGGATGGTGTACATTGACTACGAGACCGTTTCGGAGGCACTGTCCGATTTTGGCTACTCTATGCATGAGTCAAATGAGCTTTTGGCAAAAAGTAATGGTTTTCTTTGCCGTCTCTATTCTTCTATCCTTAAAGAACATCGACATAGAGATCGTTTCAGTTAACTCATTAGCTACTGAATTCAACCTCGAAGCTGACGATTTCGTAGACGAGCTGCTCGCATCAGTCGTCAATTTGAAAAAAACGGAGGTGGACTTGACTGTTCTGGAGCACATGGAAACGGTGATATACTTTACAGCTCTCCTTTAAAACTTCTTTAAAATTTTGTGAGTGAAGTGTAAAGAAGTTATGAATATTTGCTATATATTAGCTATTCTCATTCAGTTGACGCATATGGCAGAATTTGCTAGCCAAATGGCATTACTTCCAGCACACTAACTGGAAAAATAAGAACGATTTTTTTGCAAATTATGTGAAAAATTGAACAGAATAACCATATGAAAGGTGCAAGGAAGGTGACTTAAAGGTGAATTAGAACTGAATTTTCTTCAGTAAAACAAGGCATATTCTTAGATGGAATTCTTTCTGAAAAACACGGGTTTTGTTCCGCTTTGTTCATTGTTTAATTTCCATCAGTCGTTGTCATAGTGAGCAAAAGCCTAGATTCTCCCTCCCCAAATTCTTCTAGCCAATTCGAAGACTTTTTTTGCATGCTCTTGAATTTCTACCTGTAATGAAAAGCTTTTATGATGTTTTTTAAGGAACTAATGAAAAAGCTCAAGAAAAACTTGGATGGATTCGTACCAGGATCATCATTGAAATCAAAAAGGTGCGTCTTCTAGAAAATAGTGTCTGGAGTACTCTAAAAAGTATTCATCCTACACACACCACCCACGCGTTGTGATGTGGGGTCGCTCTTTTTATTACACCAGTAATTCCCTCTTTAAGGAATGCACTTGGAGAGTGTTCTGTTAACCAATTAAGTTTCAATGTTTCTTGCGTTGAAGCTGAGGATTTGTCGAGTGAAGATTTCGGTTCTATTCGTCTAGAAGGATCCTATCAAGCATTTGCACCTGTTTCGTAAGTTGTCTATGTTGTGTGTTATTCACTTTTACCCTTGATCAGCAATATGTCTTGTGTTATTTGGAAACTGGTGGATTGCGACAGAGCTGACTATCTAGCTTTTCACGTCCGAAAGTCTTTCTATTTCGTGGTACAATAATCTGGGCCATATAATTTACACGTTCTATTTGAACATTGTTCAGCAATTGGGGTAGAATCCTTCGCAGTTCATAGTTTTATCCCACTTCGTCTTGATCGAGCCTTTCTCTCCAGGAACTCTCCTTCAAACGCTAAGTACCAGACTAGGACGGAGCGTTTTGTTGTCACGCAACAGCATCAGGGACAGCGTTTCGTGAAGAGTTCCGCTTCCGGAGGTTCAACTTCTATCGAAATACTTTCTGCTACCCCCAATGACAAGTACGCCGTGGATAAAACATCAAACGTTATAGACGGTAAGTGCCTGCTAGGCTTATAAGCTATCGGAGCTTCAAATGTGGTCTTCCTCTCCCTTAAAAGGAAAGTACATTAAGGTATACTAGAATGCTAGGGCTGTTCAAATGAAATGTGTACGCCGTATGTGTTTTCGAACGCCAATCTCAAATCTGTTGAATGTTATAAAACATGTCGTTGAAGCGCTTCCTTCCCCTATTATGCTAGCGTTGCAAGCGGATAAACAAATTGAGCAGTCAGCAGGTGAAACAGGCAAAGCTGCAAATTCATGCGCACATAAATTCTCGGTTCCTTGGTGCAAATGCTCTTCGTTGCTCTTTCTTAAAAATTGTTGATTGTTTGCAGAACCGTTTTGTCACATACAACTCATCTGCAATGTTCACTTATCCACAGCCGATATACTAAACGGTTTTAGAGCGCTATCTTACTGCCCTTTGCGTCGTTTTCTTGGGAAAATATGTTTTGATTTTGCAAACGTTTAGCTCGTATATATATTACAATACAAAGCGAGCACATACATACATACGAGCAAGGCCACGAATTTTATGAAATACCTACGAGCCTGCAGCCCTAACAGCTACACCGTCGCGGCACTGAAGCAGTTGACTGCCATGTTGGCTTATCCACTTGCCACAGTGGTATATCACAGGAAGGAAAGGCTTCTGTAACATTATTTTCGTAATCGTTTCCCAGATCTGAAATGTAGTGAGTCCTGTGTTCGAAAATATATATGGCATGTAAATCACCCAGTGGATGGCCCGTGCAAGTAAGATCCTTGACGTCAGGAAGCTGAAAACATCGAATCTCATTGAGCCTATTTCTGAGCACTACTCATTCGATTTCCATACAGAGTTTCGGACTCATTTGAAATGAAACGTAAGCTAATGCGCGGTAAGGAATGAAACAGCACAAACAGCATCCAGATACCAGTCAGTGTAGAGTTATACGTTCCAAATTGCGCAGCGTATGATTCAGTAATTGGAAAAAATTGGAATAAGAATTCAATGCTAGAGATTCGAGACTTTGTAACCCTTTATATTCCTCTAGAGGTTTTGGGTCCTCTCTTGAATTTTTTATCTATCCGCTTCCTACATGCTGAGGGTAAAATGTAACCATCAGAAAAAGTTAATGAAGTTTTTATTCTAATCTTTCGAATGACATTGGAATTCTTAAAAGCAGCTAATCTAACATCAGTGGAGCCTGGATTAGAATTTCTACAATCAAGATGTTGAGGGTCACTTCATTCTGGGGATGTGGAAGCTCTACTCCTAGAGCGTAGTGACTGCAAATTTCATGATCCTATAAGTTACACTCAAATTGCACCACCAATCAATGTAAGTACCATGTCATTTATGGAACTTTTATAGTTCTGTTCAAACTCACCTCCCCACGACATTACTATAGTAGTATAACTACAACTCATAAAAAAGATCTGTTACTTACCTAGTAAACCCCATTCTTCGCGTTTGAAAGGATTTTTTATATCGAAATGTATTCGTTTCTGACCCTCATAGTTACTCTATTTTATGCATCTCTGTTTTGATCTTGGTTTTCTTAAACTACTCTGCTACAGTTGCCTACACCACTATTCGTACACCATTGCTTACAGTTTGATTATGAGTTAGATATAAGCTTAAGCTTCTTAAGCTAAATGCGAACGAATGGCTCGATTTGCGGCGCTTTGTTGTCAAGCAAATCAGGAAATATCGGAATGGTCGACTCCAATAGCTGGCTCAACGGTTCGGTCGCCATATTTGGCTCCTTTACTTCGAAATCATTAGGATTTATCAATTTATCGCTGTGGCAAAAGGATTTTATGGATGTTTTTATTTAAAGGATTCACTATTCGTATACGGAGAAATTGTGCGTAATGCTCCTGGAGATGTTCCTTTGAGTGACCAAAGCGCTTCATTGTTAATGAATGACGAGGCAGGTACAGTCATCAAACTGGACTTGAGTCGTCTACCGGAAGTTACTATTTATCCTGGACAGGTAAAAACTCTCGAACTCTCTTGCAGTCTGCATTGGCACTAATCTGTTTCAGTTGGTGTCTTTCCTTGGCTCTTTCGAAGGTGGGGATCGTTTTATAACATCTCGCCAGTTTTTTCCTGCACCCTTGCCGCTGGCACCTTTGAAGAAGACTCTCGTTGATGGTACTACTCTGTCATTTAATATCATTTTTTTTGTCACTTACCTTTCCTTTATTCAGAGAATTTTCGTATGTGGTGTGCCAGCGGTCCCTTTACTACTACAGACAACTGTTCCTACGAACCTCTCTGCGATTTGCTTGATATGGTCGCTAAGGAGCAACCACATGTGCTCATACTGGTATACTTTTTCAAACTAACGCTACGTTTCTGCTCTAGGAAATATGTTTGTTTTTTGCAATGCCGTTGTTCAGTAGTGTGAGTTTTAGATGGGTCCTTTAGTGGAAAGTAAGAATGCATTCATGCAACGACCAGAGTTTCCAGAGACATATGAGAGCGTAATGAATCAACTTATGAGGAACATTGCAAAGTCTCTGGAAGGGTGAGTTTGGCTAGCGAGTATATCCTCGGAGTTTTGACAAATATCAGATATTCAGCTGCCGGACGGAAGTAATAGTGCAACCCGCACCCTTCCGAGATGCATGCTGCCAACCTGTCTTTCCCACTCCGCCGTTTCTTTTCAGTTCGGAAGTTTGTAAGAAAATGGGTAAAGTAAGTTTTCATTTTCTGATTCACCGTGTGTTTTTCGTGCGTAGACTGAGATTTTTAGCGTCTTCACTGCGTTTCCGATCCATGTATAGCTCGATTGAATGGGATCGAGGTAGCGTTCACTAGCAGCGAGGTTAGATTTTCTACTAAGTTTTTTTTTTTTTTGGGAATGAGTTCTGTTGAATTGGGTTTTACTTATCGTCTACTTTTTGGTTTTCTCGTTTGGACCTCGAGAGTGTTTTGTCATTGTGCCATCTGAGCATATTTTCCCGGATCAGTCATGACTTTAACAGCGATCGTCAAGGAAGTTAAACCATTACAAAATATGATGTTCTCTCTAGTTGAGCTAACTTTTCCATTAACTTGCGCGATCTCGCTGTTGAGCTAAAAAACACAAATTCATGGAATTACCGGGTTTTCGGGTACAATTGAATTCCCTTGAGGAAAGCTGTCCTAAGCAGATTCCGTTCTTAGCTTTCTTCAGGAGAAAAAGCTTTTCATGCTTTTTCTACATAGAACGTTATGTTGACTACAGGTAGTCATGCATCTGTCTAAAACGGAATGGCACTCGTCACCAGAACAAGAAAATCGCGATAGAATCACTCGCCTCAACTCTCACATACTAGAGTACGCAAAATAGGTTTTACTTTAATGATTTTAGGAAGGATCACAGAAATATTTTGTTTCATAGACAACGTTCATTGTATCCTCTTCTCCCTCCCGCAATACCCAGTTCCATAGAGGAGTTGATGAAGATTTGCAATTTGCGAGCTGCTCCACACGTCATTATAAATTCGTCGGTTCTCGCAGCCAGTATAAAGGTAGGAAATGGGCTTTGTCTTTCTGTACCGAAATAGTGCGATGCAACCATATTAATTTTAGAACATTAACAACACCGTATTTGTGAATCCTGGAATCACTTCACGGGGAGGTAGTGGAACATTCCTAAGATCCGAATTTTCTACTTCATTGGCACAAAACGCCTCAGATTTGAGTGACTGTTCAATGTTTGAAATTGTGAAATTATAGGAAATTGATAAATTGCGTGTATTTCATTACGGATTAAATTTTTAATTATATGCCATTGACCGATAAGAACATATTGCTTTGGACCAATCCTTTTATAGTAAACAGAGCAGAAATTTTAGTTTTGTCACAGAGCTCGTTAAGGCGGACGTGGTGTAGTGGCAAATGACACTGTGTCACACGCGCGGCCAGGGGTTCGAATCGGATCGATATCGCCTAGGGCAACCAACTTCCATCCCTTCGGGGGCAGTTGATTGGTACCAGACTCGTCCGGGAAGATAAAAAAAAAACACTGTCTTGTACATCGACTGGCCCTCGCAAGTCATTGTATAGGCCCCATCCGCATTCATTACGCCACTACGATTCTGAATGGAAGTCGAGCGCGGGGCGCATTCCTCACACGGGAATGGTTCACGCCAAAAGACTATGTCCGCTTATCCTTTTATCACAGGGCTCGCGCTTTGTAGGCGACAAGAGTAGCAAAGCACTGAATCCGATACTTCCTTCTGTCCAGTGTAGTGTCCTGCACTTCACTTATGAAAAGTGTCTGGGTAAATAGCTAGTGCAGGGGTTTGTAGAGGTCTGCTGTAAGTTCACCTATTTTTATCATGCCCTTCGCTGCCTGGTTCCCGTAGAAAAGCAAAGTGGTATGACACATGGGGAAACTTGGCTCGTAACTTTGTTCCCAGAATCGTTTCGCAGATTTGAAATCCAGATTCGAGATCAGCGTTTGGAAGTATTCAGGTCGGTATACTCTCCCCTTGAATAGCCATCGCGACCTAGTATTCTTTCCTAGTAAGACCATTCTTCGTATCTGACCTACGGCCATTAACATTGAGGACGAGCGTGGCGAGCTTCACGTTAAAGACGAACGCGTTTCTCATTTGTGCGCCCGTAGGACGAGGCACTTCGGGTGCACTGGCTAATCGTCGATCACCATTAATCAGCATCGTCACACAGGACAGATCCCAAATTCACTTTGTTGTGTTTGTGTAGAGGAAGCTATTACATGTATACAGAACTGCAAAACAAGTGAAAACTTTTACAAGCAGGAGTGCTAGTAGCAGTTTTAATTCCCTGACGGTATTTCAAACCGTTTATGTGCTCTAAACCTTGTACATCGAACAGCCAGAGAAAATACTATTCAAACGCTTGGCGTGAACAGCAATAGAACGAAGACGATAATCCAAGGAAGTGCTGATTCTAAAATGGAGGGATTGGCGACTTAATCATATGCTTTGACCCAAACATGATGCAGGTTGCCAGCCTGGTGCTAAACCCATTGCTGTCGCTAACCACAACATGATGAATGGGATTGTGAATCTTAGTGTCCAGATAGCCGCTTGTAACTTTATTGAGGAAGACAACTATTTTATCATGCAATTATGAAACGACTTTTGTCTGTGCTTGCTTCCTGAACACTGATAAAATAAAATTAAATTTAATCCCCTCAAGGAATCCACTATAAACCCCACAGATAGGGGGGAAAGATCCAGGGGACTAGTAATGACTTTGATATAGAATATTTGCATAGAGTCTTTTATTTAACTGAATTATAGGTCGACCTGAATTAATCAAATTATTGGGTTGTCCGAAAAGTTCCCACCGATTTTTGATTCCTCTTTGAATGAAAATTCCTAGAAGAAGAAATCCATTGATTGAATAATATATCCTCCATTCTGTTCAGCAAGGATTCGCCATCTTCCTGTAGTTTCCAGTCCCCCTCTTCCATAGAAGGTTCCAGACTTAAAATCGAAAAACCCTTAGGTGCGTTTTGCAGTCCTCCAGCGAATTGAACGATTTTCCATTCAAAGAATTTTGCAGAAACCCATTCAAGTGATATTCTGATGGTGCTATGTCTGGACTATGTGGAGGGTGTGGTAAGACATCCCACCCAAGCTTTAGCAACTTTTGACGAGGGCGTGGTCATACGTGTGGTCTGGAGGTACCCTGTTGGAAGATTACGCCCTCACAATTGGCCACTTCGGGTCGCTTTTGGTCTATCGCTGCCTCCATATTTTCTAGCTAACAATTGTACCTTTCCGAAGTCATAGTTTGGTTATGCGACAACACCTCATGGTAAGTGATTTTCCTGGAATCCCACGAGCAACTCGGCATAGTCTTCCGCACCTGGATTTTGACTTTCGCAGCGGTTTGTGACGGCTCACCAGGGGGGCTCCACGATCGTTTCCGGTCCTCATTGCTGTACACAATCCAATTTTCGTCTCTCGTGCTCATGCGTTTCAGAAACGGCACATTTTTATTTCGTTTGAGCAACGAGTCGCACATGGAGGCGCGGTCCATCGCATTGCGCTCGCTCCTTTCGCGAGATATTCTAAACATCAAGGCGCTTTACAAAACCAAGCGTTTGCAGATGACCATGGGTGGTTAATTTCGAAACATTAAGCCCTTGTCCTACTCCACGTGCAGTGTTGTGCCGACTCGCTTCGGTTAACATTTTGAGTATCGTTTAAACTGATGATAGTCTCCCTAGGGGTTGCCGGTCTTCGAAGGCCAATTCACTCTGTTTGGATTCCGCAAACTAGATATGCACTGTACGTTTCTCTAGGGCACGGTCTACTCAAACGTCATATATCTTTCATGCGGCTTAAGCCGCATTCTAGGCTTTGCGGTAGAAAAAATACTTCAGATGTCGAGAATGCGCGCAGTGGTTCTCCATTTTCATACAAGTCCTGTACAGACAATCTCCGACAAATCTTGACAGAATCCTAACAGGAATATAGAGGAGGATCTGCTCTTTCAGAAAACATATAACTTTATTAGGTTGGGTCCTTGATCTTTTGTACAACGGTTGATAAATCCGGGGTGTCAAAAATCGGCGGAAACTTTTCGGACAACCCAATATTAAAGTCAAAAATATCGAAAAAACAAGTTTTTCATCACTCGGCCATTTATAGTACTGTCGGTCATCATTGATCGACATAGTCGTCAGCTTGTTAATTGGTGCTATTCCTGTTGATTTTGTAGACCGAGTTTTCGAGGGACACCATTACTGCTATGCAGGCACCATGTCCTCGAGTGTGTTCTACGGTATAGTAGTTCCTGAAGTGTAGATCTTGCCCGTTCCTGCGGTTCATAAGATCGGCAATGTTCCGAGGCTTCCCAGTAAGCGATCTAACGTACGAAGTCAAATATGACCGAGGTCAATCATCCACGGTAGCTATCGGAAATGTGTTAAGAACTCTGCTGGGATTCTGCAGGTCACTCAAGGATGTCTCCTTCCTTTATAACTGCTTTCTTTATTGAGCTGAATCATTTTTGTTGTGACGCGTTTTTCCACCAGGTGGAAACCCCAACGCCACTCAAGCAAATTTTGCAGTATAGGCTTTTACCTCGACACAGACAGACCGAGGATACACACGGCCGCGATTATTTGCACAATTTACGAAATACCAGGTTTTTAAAATTTATTAAAATATCGTCCACAAACTAAGGTTTAAGGGCTGAACGATGTTAGAAGGACGGAATTTTAAGGAAAAGGATTTGGATGGGATTCCAGTCATGTACCTTCACGCAAGAGATGTCTACGAATAAAGCTACCTGGAGAACCAGCCCTTACAATTCTCAAAATATAAGCTCTGTTAGGAATGTGGCAGCCTCTACAACGCCATAATAACGCAGCCACTTCTGGGCGTTTTGCAATGGATGCAAGTTTTGAGCCTTTCTTACCCATGTGCTGTCCATGGAGGTCAGAGATTCCTAAAAAACGTGATAAAAAACGTGCCAACCCAACTTTGCTGAGACAGGTGACTAATCAACTACTAATCCGTGCCAATCGCATTCCGCCCTTTCCTCGTCCACCTATTCAACATTTCTATGGAATTTTATCTCAATGAGAGGCGTAGAAAAGTAGGATGCTCGTGGGACCGCGAGCTTTGTCCAACACGATAAATACATTTAAAGGCACTGTTAACGACTAAATGGTTTCGAAGATATGCACATGGTTAGAATTCTGAGCCCCCTCTGATAACATTTGTGCAGGAATTAGGTCGGAAAACGGCTGGATAGGGCACAATAAGGCCAGGAAGTGGGGGACGCGATGCCTCCGCCCCTCGTTAGGCTGACTACGTGTTAAAATTGTCATTCACCACGTTCGCACTGGAGCGAAGCTGGTGAAAAATCGATACGCAGATTGGCAAATAGCCAGGAATGATCAGCTGGTCGACCGCCTCGTACAGGAGCTAGTATTCAACTGTTATTTCTATTTTATGTTTGTATTTCTATTGTTTTTTTTTTGTTATGAATTTTTTACGGTAGCATTCTTTAACTATTCTCGTAAATTTATTGAAGATTTTAACATATTTTGTGTAGATTATTGCATGCAAATGTTTTTTTATTTAAGAAACTCCGTTAAATTCGATGTGTTGTCTGTATTGCAGACACTGCGTCGCCTTCGTGCATTCTCGCTCGAACACTCCCTAACCGCCGTTTTCCAATGTGAAAGATGTCCAACCCCACTTTCTAGCACTTTTTTGTCCCTTTGTAATACTTTTTGTTGCTCGTTTTTTTTGCGCTTTTTCGTTGTTATCGCTTTATTCTGAAGTAGTTCTACCTATT